CTAATCTACAAAAATTATCTCCCTCCATTTTTCATGGGTGGATCAATCAATTTAAGTAGTGCTGAAAAATGTTTACCTCAGGTAATCACATTTAATTAGAGAGTAAAGAAAAATAGATGTGATGCCAAAAGCAAATCATAAAACATATTAAAATAACACCAGGAAAAAGAATTTGCTTTTCCTATATTTGTGTAATGTCTGATCTATGTAAGCAGCCAGTTAAATTTGGTTTTAAACCATTTTAAGAGAGGAATTAATAAATAATTTAAAACAATAAGATTATAAATACAAGTTTTTCCAGTGATAGCAGTGTAGCAAGTTTAGCTTATGACACAGACAACCTGGCTGTAGTAGAGATACATTGTTGTGAGCAGCAGTTGATATGTGACTTTATAAACCCATGCTTTCAAAAAAGAAAGTTTTTCTTCTTTTTTCTTTCACCCATGTGTAGGATTACAAATCTTCTTTTGCAACCAAATAGACTTTCCTTTAGACTCAACAACCTCTGTTGCTAATGAAAGATATACCTTTTGTTATTTTATTCCTTTAAAATATTTCATAAAATTTCAACCTTTTTATTTTAATTTTGCTTTTTTTTATGGTATAGACACCGCCTTGGTTGACATATATACCACTTTACTGGAGAGTGTTTCCCGATAGGTCTGTAATCATATGCATAGGTGAAGGAAAAGAGAAGAGAGAGTCTCTTTTTAAAAGTATAGTTTTAAAAAGGCACTCATCAGCCGCCTCTGCTACTACATATCCCTTCTACGAAATTAGGAAAGTAATGGAAAATTTGGTAATTCTGACAAGGTAGGAAAATTCATTAACTAGGAAATAAGTCGATTGAAAATTGATTTTAGGGCTGTTCTGGAGTAGGGATTTGGGAGCTAAGAACACTTCTCTTATATTTTTAAATAACTGAAAATTGTGGGGTCCAGATAAAACCGCACTACGAAAATACCAAGGCTGGACTTGAAGAAGGGGTACTTAGGGGCTAGGCCTTCTTCCTCAATATTTTTTTAAAAAGTATTATTAACTATGGGGGTCTAGATAAAACCACACTGCAACAAAACCAGGGCTGTACTTTCAGAAGTGGACTAGGCACCCCATATGTTTAAAAGTATTATTAACTAAAAAAATCGTGGGGTTCAAGTCCAGAAAACCACACTGCAAGAATACCAGGGCCATGCTTTCTGGATGAAGAGTTTAGTGGGCTACCCACCACCCACAATATTTTCAAATAAATATTTTTAAAATATGTATTTATCTAATTACTGTACTCTATATTGTTTTCAAGCAAATAAAATTATCTAATTTAAAGTTAAATTCTTGCATCTTCTTTTTTTTTTTTTTTTAATAAAAAAGTAGCAAATAAATTAATTTTTTTTAGAGAGTTATTTCTTCTTAAAGAAGCAAAAACTATATAGCCCCAAAATTCGCACGCAGAACGATCCTAAAATCAATTTTCAATCGACTTTTATTTCATAGTTACCAAATTTTCTTACCTTGTAAAAATTAGCGAATTTTCCGAGCACCCCACCACCTCTACAGTCAACCGTCTATGTCATGGCTTAATGCACTACAAAACAAGTTTTTTTTTTTTTTAATAATTAACACAGACTTAAATAATTTTGTCTAAGTAAAGACATATTTTATTGAAGCAGTTTCATAAGCATTTTCAATATTTTATTTTAGAAACAGTTTCGTGAAACATTTTATTAATTATTTGAGCCTTAACAAAAACACTTTCTTCACTTAAAAAATCTGATAAGTTGTTTAAATGATAGATTAACAACAGGTAACGACGTCTTAGTCACAAAATACTGAAAACTGTTTTGTAACTTAAGGTTAAAAAGCGTCAACCAATTAGAAGTTAATAAGCGGTCGGTGCTGCTCATTCCTGCAAATTCTAAAATCAAACTGAATGTGCAATGAAAAAATAGAATAAAATAAAAACGTAATCATATAGATGAAAGCAAAAGAATACTTACATTATTTAATGATGCTAAATAATTTAAACAATTTCTAAAAATTCGTATAGTAACAAGAAAAGGAAGAATGTAAATTATTACTGAAAGATTCGAAAATCCTAAATCAAATCATCACTGAAAATTATTCTCTAAATTATATTGTTTAAAAATCAACTAAATAATAAGGGAGGTAACTTTTTAAGCAGAGTTACCTCCCATGATTTTTAAAGTTGCTCTTATGTATCGTTATAAGTTTTCATTGATTGAAAGAGATTAATTTTTGTAATTGGATAATATTTATTTTTAATTATTTATTTTAGATAATATATATTTTTTAATGCTTTATTTTTTTAAGATACAATAAACACTAAATTTAAATCAGATATTTATTAAGCTTATTTTGCAATTTTCTTAATCAACAATTATCCAAATAGGTTGTATAAATAATTTCCACTCATTTATTTTTATGCCTCCTATATAAATTGTATTTTTTGAAAAGGTTGTTCTCATTCAATTTCTATAATGAAAACATGAAATGTCTTTTGGTTTTTAGAAAATAAGAGTCTCAGAAATAACATTTCTTAAACTTGTGTTGAGTATCTGGGACATGACAAAACAAGATTTGAAAACTGTTGTCATTGTCTAGACATTAGCCTATCTTCAACATTTTAATGTAAGTTATAAAAAGATCATTAGAAAAGGACATATTAGTTAAAAGGAAATGCTTCACACATATGAATATATGATAAATGGTTGCTGTTAAAATAATCTGGTGTCCTGGCAACAAAGGTATTTGCTAATTAACTAGCTCTGTGTACATTTGAATTCATCAGAAATGATTTGATTGCTAAATGTGATTGGGTAAAGCACATGGTCCAAATGGCATATATTGAAGAAGAATGAAAAATGCTAATTTGTAATCAAGGTAAATGTAGAAAGATTGTCCGTTTAATAACATCATAAACATGTGTCTTTTTTTCATCAGTGTATATATATATATATATATATATATATATATATATATATATATATATATATATATTGCATATATATGTATATATATTGAATAAGGTAATGACATTAGCTGTGAGTTAAGTAACTTGACTGGGGAATTACTAATAGTTTTTAAAAAATGCAAAATAAAAAACAACAAATCACACTATCAATAATATGAAAGAAAGAAGGGAAAAATTTAAGCAATTTACTGAAAAGTAAAGCTTTTAAAAGATAAATATTTGGTATATTGAGAGATGAATGCCATTCTAAATAACACCTTTGTGGTTGTGGGTCATCGACAGTTGATTAATGAACAAGAGTGGTGGATAATTTGGTTAATATTTCAATGTTTATTTACCTGATAATAATAACAATAACAACACTTAGAGCAGAGCGTGAATTAAGAAAAGAAAAAGTAAAGAAAAGGCAGTGTTTGATATTGTTTTACGATATTTTGGCATTATGCCTGTCTTCTTCAAGTTATGTCTAAAAATTGCATACAAGTAACAAAAACATATAAAAGAAATACAAGTCTTTATATTTATATTTTTATACTTTTATGAAATTATTAAACATGACTTGAAGAAAACAGACATAATTCCAAAATATTGTCAAACATTGTTAAACACTATGTCTTTTATTTCTTTTCTTAAATCATTGCTTTTATCTAAGTGTTGAAAAATATTAGGAGAGTTACATCAACCATTTTGTTTAATAACAATAATAATAATGGTAATAATAAAGTTGTGTTTGGAGTTCTGTGTTTGATTGGAAAAGGTTCTGAAAGATTCATTGAAGGGGTCCCTGGTAGTTCATGCCTTAATGAAATACTAAAGATTTTTCTCAGAAATAAAGCTTACACCTTACAAAAGGCTTTATCTGTGTAAAAATGTGTATTTTTGTTATTTTTTTTTTTTTTACACAACTGTTCAGTGGAAATGTCATGATGCCATTTCTGACCTCAGGTCTCTGGTTGGGACCCGAAAGGAAACGACTATACAAGAGAAATTAAAAAGAAAATAATGATTTCTTTTTTAATTGCATGCAAAAAAGGTGTTCTTTTGAAATTACTGGTTGAAGCTTTGTACTAAACAAAGCAAATAATAATAATAATAATAATTGAAAGATTTGTCTAGTATATTGACAAAGATATAGAGCTTGGCTGTAGTAATGGGTACTCTTGGAAGCCCACCTAGAAAATTGAAAGTGCTCTTAGGAATAATTGGAACAGAAACCAATGTTTTACACCCCCAGAAAGCTGCCATACATTATTCTGCAAGGATTCTTTGAAAAGTTCTTGAGTTTTGAGGAATTTTGTTGATACCATGTCTCAAGAATGTAATTTGAATATTTATTTTTATTTTATCATAATAAAAAAAAAATCAATTATGTAAGGAAATTACTTTTTCTGTCCCAAATCAGAAAACAAATGAAATTAAATAGTATAAAAAATGTAAATGATGTGTCATGTCTCCTTAAAATTGTTGGAAATGGGAGAAAAACTCTGGAAAAAAAGAAATATGGTTTGTATCCATTTTCTTTTTCATTCAATTCATTTTCTTATTTGGAACAGAATAAAAAATTTTATTTCATATTTGTACTGATGCTGGTGATGATGTGAAAAAACATTGAAACATTAGCTAAATTGTCGATCACTTTTCTCTGTTTACCAAAGTTGAATATCCACAGGCATGATATTTGGAATTACTTTCATCTTTTTTTTTTTTATGCATTTAAGTTACCTGGACAAGATTTTGGTAAAGTGTATTTTTATCATTCAAGTCTTTAATAAAAGATATTAATGTTCAGCGCTTAATTAAAAAAGAAGAAATATTTTTTGAATTTTGATTTTTTTTATATGTTTTGCAAATGTCAAGTAATTGCAGAGATATGCAGAAGAAGAAGAAGAAAAAACCCTGGAATGTTAGAGTTAGCATTGCTGTGAGTTGAGGATAATGTGAACATCAAGTCAGATGCCCTGGCCCTGTTACCCCTATGACCATGCCTTCATCCTCATCTTTTTGTCTCTTCTCACACATGTTTACGGCGATGTCCCATCACGTCCAGTCTCTCTGTAACAAATACAAGAAACAAACAAGAGATATAGTTTTCATGTTAATTTTTTATGCAAAGTGTTAATATAAGTTAATTTATTCAAACCAGTACATTTTTGTGGGAAAATCTATTTTTCCCCCATGTTGTGCCAGAAAACTTTAATTGTCAGAATCCATCTTACACATTTATAAATCTACCATTTACTAATGCACTGAATACTGTTGCCATATCTGGTCTGGTGTTCCTGCTGTACATCTTCAGATTCTTGACAAAATCCAAAGAAGGATCTGTAATATAATCGATCCTGACCAAACATCTCAACTTCAGTCACTTTCTCACCAACGTGGTTTCCCTCTGTCTTTTCTACAAATATTTTCATGGCAACTGCTCTGATAAGCTTGTAGCAGAAAAACACAATTTACACATAAAGATAACAAATTAAATTAAATTATTAGAAAACGTATATCTCTAACTACACACCAATATTTGTCCAGCTAAGTGTCACACACACCACACTCAAAACAAATTTTAAAGCAAACACGAATATACCAGATTGCTGGCAATTATCGACACAACTCCCATTTGCCACAGGTGTCTACAACTATGTCTGTGTGCTTCCTTTAAATAGACACTGTCATTCTCTCTTTTCAACATGGTAAGATGTAGGTCACACATGGAGAAAACTGTCCCCTACCGGGGAAGGTACACACCTTTCCCTTCACTTTCAATTACTTTTTTCTCGGACTTCTTCTAGACAAAACTTCACAAACACATTCTCTAGTTTAAATGTTTTCTTCTTTCATATTTGGTGTTTTTGTCACATGCAACAATCTTCTGTTATTGCTTATGTATAATTTTTGCTAATACTTTCATTGTCATTTGTTTTTATATATATATATATATATATATATATATATATATATATAGTTTTGACATTACTTTTATTGATTTATTACCTGAACTCACATTTGAGCCTGAAATAATTGTTGTAGAAAAATACATACCACGAGACATGTGTTTTCTAACCTAAACACAATCAGCACTCTCACAACAAGCTTTTTTTCAGTTGGTGCCCTGACTACATGAATTTAAGTGTACTACTAGATTGGCAACTAGGTCCCACCATTTTATTGTTGAACTAGCTAGATGCAACAACCACTTCTGCTCTAATAGTTTAGCATGTAAGTGAATGTAATGGATCTGACTGGAATTTGAACTCTGCTCTTCATCAATCCAAGCTGCTATCCATTACTCCACCATGCCTCCTCAATATTATATTTGAAACATTCTAAAAACTAATACAACTAAAGCTAATGCAATGTAATATTTATTATTTACCATGTAATCAATTTTTTATTTTTAAATTTATAAATTATTATTAAAAAATTATTAAAATATGTGAACGAACTATAAGGAAATCCTTATTATATACCATTTTATAAAATTCCAATGAATTGGCAATTAACCAATGTTTTTCCAATCATCCCAATAAACAATGCAATAAACAATGCAATAAACAATGCAATAAATAAATAGTGTTTATTATTTTTGTTCTAAATTCTTAAGAACAAAGAAAATGTATAAATTCACTTTCATATGTTTAAGTTTTATTAAAATTCTTATCATCACTTTTCAAAAAAAACATTAACCCTTACCAAGGAGTGAAGGTAGTTAAAATAATAGCAGTGTCAAAGGAAAAACCATCCTTTTGACACTTCATTTTTTTGTGGGTACGAAGGTCCAAGTTTGCCAATAAATTCTTATTTGACAATATGAATTCATATATGATCTTATTGAGGGTGAAAATAATGAAAAAGATTAAAATGAAAAAAAAGCAGTGCGTTCAAAAATAAAATATTTATTTATACAATAAAATCAATATTATATATTATTTCTTTTTTTTCTAAATTTGGGTTTTAGTGGCTTGCCATATTTAAATAACACCCTTTTCTTAAAATTTATTTATTTGTTATTTTTTTCCTTCCTTCTCCTCAGTAGGTTTACCTATTCTCCCTTTCACCCTCCTGGCCTTTTGAACAGGAGTAGAGGTTTATTCCTTGTTTCCTGTTTAGGAGTGTATTTCTGGTTCCTTCTAAAGTTTAATTCAACTCTATACTTCAAACATCTCCAACTGAACTCTGAAATTTTATTCATTAATTATTTATTTCCTTTTTTTTCTATTCCTCTCAATAGGAGTGGGTAGGTTTGCCTATCATCCAGTTGACACACCTCCTTGGTCTTATGAACACGAGTAAAGGCTTATCCCTTGTTCTCTGTATAGGATTGGATTTCTGGTTCCTTCTAAATTCTATTTCCATACTATACTTCTCTGACTGAATGAAATAATTAAATCTTGACCTTTCCATGTCAGTCAAATCAGCTTTATCTTTCCTGCATAACCCACAAGAACTTCATTTCTTGCCCTTTCTTATGCTAATACAACACCCTCTACCTCGAGTGGTTCTTGGGCCTTGTATTACGGGAACAATAGTAACCCCCCCCCACCAAAACCTAAAAAACAGTGAGAGTTACATCAATTAGTCAGGGCATTCAAGACACTTGACATAGAAAAAGTACTCTTGAGCAGAGTGTGAAAATGTGTACTTCTCTTGTAGGAGAAACCACCATCTGATCTGGTGTGCTTTAAACTGCTCAGCCACAGAGAGCTTCATAGCTCAGCAAGGTTCAATTACCCTTTTAAAGAATGCACATACTCTCCTTCAGATTTTCTCAAAAGCCCATATCAGCTTGAAAGTTCATATCTGGTGATTTTTTATTTTCATATTAGAAACGTAAATAAAATAATTTTAAAGAAATTGATGGAATTTTAATGGAAATTATGGAATTTAAGGATTTTAATGGATTTTAAGGAATTTTAATGGAATTTATGGAATTAATGAAATTTAAGGATTTTAAAGAATTAATGGATTTTATTTTTAATCTGTGATTATTTCTTATTACTCTAAACAATATTTTGTTTTATGTTTCATATACAAGAATAAAAAATCAGCAGATACGGGCTTTTAAGAGTATCCAAATGAGATACCTTAAAAAAGATACTTGAACACTGTTTGTGGCTGAGCAATCTAAAGCATGCTAGATCAGATCAGATGGTGGTTTCTTATGCTATCGGAGAGCACATTTTCTTTATTGAGTTTCTTCAATTCACAGGCCAGTAATAACGATCACTTCTTTCTTAATATTATGTTAATACAATCACCAACATCTTTTGAGGTCACTTTTTAAGTTAATCCTCATTCTGAGGTGACACTGAGCACAAAACTTACTTTGGCATCTCTTAGGGTGAACTCAGTAGATACTGGGGTCACCACAGATCAACTCCTTTTAGATTAAAGATTCCTGATGAACATTTCATTCAGATCTTTGGTATTTCCTGGCATGAATTCCATACTGCATTTCTAGTAAAGACTTAAAAATATTTAAGTCATTTTCTCAATTTCATATATTATCATTATCAATAGCAGAAAATTCTGATAAGATTCTATACTTTATATAAATCAGATTTTTACCTTCTGTTGTTAAAGTAATAAACTGATCCCCAAATAATTATTACATTAATATGTTGTCATTTTTGGCTTTATTTTGTATCCAAGAATTTAATTTCCTCTTTGATGACTGCTTCCTTAATGAGGATAGTGGTGTTGATGACTACATTCACTGCCAACATGTAGGCTTCCAGTTTCACCAAAATTTGCTCCAATCATTCATTTCCTATTGCTGTTTGGCTTTACAAGAGTTGGTTGGAGGTGAAAGAAAATCAGAGTAGAATAAAATGCCGATGATGTGAATTTGTTTAAAGTTGATTCCAATTTGCTAGGAAGTGACCCACACTCTTGATTTCATGACCTTCCTCTGTGGCACATATGGCATGAGACGTGCAGAATCCAGTCATAAAACTGCAATGGACTTCTGCTGACCCTGTTATAACTTTGAGTTGTGCTTTTTGTAGCATGTTCATCATGTGTAGCCCTTTTCATCTGCTGGTTCATCATCTGCTTCTTCCACTGCTTGGGTCTTTGGGGTTGGTTGCACTTACTCTGGATCCTCATCTTGAATTTGTCACCAAGGGTGGTCCTACTGGGAGTTTAGAACTCCCGATGACATTGTTCTCAGAGTCATTGGACCATGCAAGCCTCTCCACCACAACAAGGAGTGACCATTAATACACAATAATTGGAAAAATAGATTTTTAATGAATTAATTGATTTTAGTTTCAATCCTACCTTATTTCTTATAACTCTAAATATTATTTTTACTGGATACCCATATTTAAGTAGATGTCCTGTTTTTTTAAACAGTATGAATTATGTCTACCAGGTTGCACATTCAAGAGACTTAAGGAAAATGCACTCTCACTATCTTGATGTACTTTTGGATTTCCATGTTTGGTATCTCCAATGTGTAATTTGCATCTTGGGTCACCCTTTTTGTTAATGACCATGCATTCATTCTTCTTACAATTGATGTTTAGTCCTTTCTTCTCACTTTCCTTTATTACCTTTTGTAGGAGTTCTTGTAGTTTCCTTTCTGTGTCTGCTATCAACACTATCTCATCTGGTAGAACTTCTAATTCTCTCAGAATGGCCTCACTGTACAGGTTGAAAAAGTCTGGTGAGAAAATGCATCTGTGTCTTAATCTTTTTCTGGGCAAGGAAGTTAAATAATTATTTTTCTTGTATAACAAGGCCTGTTTTCATGTTGCAAATGCAACACAGAAAATGATCACAGAACCAAGGTGGAAACTTCTTTCAAATGGGATCTATTTTTGAGAAAACTAACAACTTGAGGAAAAGGCTGTCTGGAACTGTCTCCTTACAATTGGAATACAGGGGAAATGAAGATGATTCAACCATATGGCAGATCTTAGCTGTAAAAGTCTGAACTGGTAGAACTAAAGAATGGAGCTCATCTGAGCATTTGCCATGGAAATAGCAATAGAATAACAATAGGCTTGTGGCAATGCATCAGTGGGAAAGAGGCTGCAGAGTAAAAAATG